ATGCTGTGTCCTTTCGCTGCATCATATAACAGGCTTGTGATGCCTGCGTGTCATATTACAAGTGGTGTTAAACTTGATCACTTATTTAACGTGGTGTGTACTGGAATTCTTCTCTGTAAAGTTAGTACTTCTCTTTTCATAATTGATAAACATCTTGGGGGAAATACTTTGATACTCAGCCATGTTCTTTGAAATCATGGTTCCTAAGTAGTATTTAATATGTCCTTTGGCATACAGAGAACTAACTACTACCTTAAAAAAGTGCATATCATAGTTTTAAAAAAGTGCTTTCTGAGGTCTATGATACATATTAAGGAAATTCACAAAGTATGACATTGAAGGAAATGGGATTAAGAAAGCTAAAACCTTTCCCGGCTATAAGTAGTGATAATATTTTTTACCTATAAAGTATATGCTTTATAAAATATTTTTAGATTTAATTTTATTGCATATTTTCCATTGTAATTTAGTCCTCTCATTCCCCCAGTAATAAAATATTTTTGAATAATTCACTTAAATTCATACAACAATCTGATGATGTTGATTTTAGTAACATTATAATTTTATTACATTTTCTCATTTTCTGATGTGTAAACTAAGGCTCAGTGAGATTAAATGATTTTTCTAAGATCTAATAAAAAGTTACTGATAGTGCAAGAAAACATAACTGGATCTCTGTATCTAATCACAAACATTTTCCCACTATACACTGTGATGCAATGAATATGCTTACACAGCATGTTCCATATCATTGGATACACCCATGTAGAGAGGTATAGCTTCTTGTGGAGGTATGGTAAGGAAACTAAAACAATAGATGAGTGGTTCAAACTGCTAAACTTAAGATTGCTTCTTACTTTGAAATTTAGTGATTTTAAAATACAGTGATGAAATGCCCATGTTATTAATTTATTCTTTTCTTTTTGCTTTCTCTCTTTTGGGAGTTGAAGAAAGAACACTTTTTTTCTAATTTTCACATCCAATGAACTAAAACACTGATAGAGTTTGCTGAAAGAGACACACCCTTCCTTCCAGAATCCCAAGGATATGTGACTAGAGTTTGTTTCATTAAGTAACAGCAATATTTAGATCTCTTCTGAGGTCCCAAAGAGGCTGCTGGGACTAGTAATAAGATATATGTTCTGTGTGTCTTTGACACTCCATTAATTTCAGGGAGAACAAGCATAATCCTATTTGTCTGTTAGGTTCTTTGACCTCAGTGAAGTAAACTTTTTTCCTTATTTTTTAAATGAATGTTTTTATATTATCCAATTAGGGAAATATTACTTTAAAAAAAAGTAGAGGGACAAATACCCTAGGTTATTCTGAAAAACCCACTGATATTGAAGTACTCTAGCAAACTCTGTCATCTTATCATCAGTAACTAAATTTTCTTCTGATATTATTTTAAAAACAGAACATAATACCTCTTTTCAAAAGAACAAACTAAAGCTCTAAAAGGGGATGTAAAATTTCAATGTCACACAGCTGGCAAATTAAAAGTATCATCTGCATGGCTTTTTTTTCCTCTCTTTTTCTCACGTATGTGTGATGTCAGCTAGTAATAACAGATACATTCTAAATTCTATGTTTTTTCCCCTTCTAATAAGAAAACTAAGCCTAACATGGAGAAGTGGTTTACCTAAGGGCCATTGGGTATAAAATTAAGAATCTGGGATAAAACCTATGTAGAAAATTAAATTTTGTTAATGGTCTCCTTTGCTGTACAAACACTTTTTGCTTTGATGTTGTCCCATTTGTTTATTTTTTTTCTTTTTCTTTCATTTCTCTCGACTGAGGAGATGTATCAGAAAAAATATTCTTATGAGCAATGCCTGAGATTTTACTGCCTATGTTTTCTTCTAGGATTTTTATGATTTTTGGGTCTAACATTTAAGTCTTTAATCCATTTTGAGCTTATTCTTGTGTGTGGCATAAGAAGTTGGTTTAATTTCATTTTTCTGCACATATCTGTCTAATTTTCCCAATACATTTATTGAATAAGCTATCTTTAGCCCATTGTATGTGCTTGCTTCCTCTGTCAAATATTAATTGACTGTAAAGGTGCAGGTTTAATTCTGAGCTCTCTATTTCTTTCCATTGATCCATGTGTCTGTTTTTATGCCAGTACCAGGCTATTTTGATTACTATGGATTTATAGTAATAAATAGTGCTATAGGTAGCATGATTCCTCCAACTTTGTTCTTTCTCAAGATTACTTTTGCTATGTGGGGCATTCTGTGGTTCCAGATAAAATTTTGAAATATTTTCTAGTTCTGTGAAATATGTCATTGGTGTCCTGGTAGGAATTGTGTTGAATCTATAGATTGCTTTGGGCAGTATGAACATTCTAGTGATATTAATCCTTCCTATCCATGAGCATGGTATGCACTAATACTTGTTTGTATCTTCTCCAATTTCTTCTGTATCTTATAATTTTATGAATATAGGTTTTTCACATCTTTGGTTAAATTTACTCCTAGGTAATTTTATTGTTTTTGAAGCAATTGTGAATAAGATTGTTTTAGGGAGAACATATTTACTGATACATCTGATAAGGAGTTAATGTTCAAAATTTATAAATAACTTAGAAAACTCAACACCAAAGCAAACAAACAATCCAATTTTAAAAAATGGGCAAAGGACCTGACTACTAAGAGAGGACAGGCACATGGCCAATAGACATATGAAAAGATGCTCAATGTCACTAATCATCAGAGAAATGCAAATTAAAACCACAATACCACTTCACACCAGTCAGAGTGGATATCATCAATAAATCAACAAACAACAAGTATGGGTGAGGATGTGAAGAAAGGGGAGTACTTTTGCACTTTTGGTGGGAATACAGATTGGTGCAGCCACTGTGTAAAGCATATGGAGTTATCTCAAAAAATTAAAAAATAGAGCTGCCTTATGATGCAATGATTCCATTTTTAGGAATTTATCCAAAGAAACATGAAACACTAATTTGAAAGAACATAAGCACCCCTATATTCATTGCAGTATTACTTACAATAACCAAGATTTGGAAACAGCCCAAGTGTCCATCAGTAGATGAGTGGATAAAACAACTAAGGTACCTTTCCACAATGGAATACTTCTCAGCCATAAAAAAGACGGAAACTTTACCCTTTGCAAAAGTATGGATGGACCTGTAGAACATTACGCTAAGTGAAATAAGCCAGTCAGAGAAAAACAAATACCATATGATGTCACTCATTTGTGAAACCTAATGAACAAACTGAACTAACAAGCAAAATAGAGAAAGATTCATAAACAGAGAGCAGGTGGACAGCTCTGAGGGAGGCATTGGGGTGGGTAGAAGGATCAAGTGAAAAAGAAGAACTCATGGACACGAATAACAGTGTGGTGATTGCAGTGGCAGGCAGGCAGGTGGGTGGAGGGGGAACAGTGTATAAGGGGACAAATAATAATGGAAAAAATATAATAAAAAAAGAAAATTAGATTATGATAAAAGACTATAAGCTTCTTCTTTATTGAATAATCACTCCTATCTTAGTTCTTTAAAACAAAGATTGGCCTCCTGATGGAGAAGTGGGAAGAATAGTTTATATAGCATGCTTGATAATCTGAGTTGCTATTAGAATATATTCTAAGAATTTTTATTTAGATTAGTGACCCAATTGCCCAGGAAATGGATTTGGATCTCACTGTGAGTAGGCCCTATTCCAAAAGGGTTTTTTTTTTTTTTTAAACTTTGATAAAGAAAATGGACTGTCTTTGGGTAAGTCATTTTCCTATATGAGAATTGATTTCTAGCATGGAAATGATGATACCTTCTTTTACGTACCTGACAGGTTTATGTTAGAATGAGATAATGGATATTTAAAAAATGTATTGAAAATACAAAGATAAAAGCTTTCTCAATTTATTTCCTTGTTTATATCTCTGTTTGGAATGCTCCCTGAATTACTTCTCTTACCCCAGTTGGACTTGGCTTCACCAAAAGAGAAATTTTATTTTTTAATCATTTAACTAAAAGTTCATGTTCAAGATCTATTCAAGATCAAGTTCAAGATCTATTCAAGTATCTTTGAATAGATCAATTCAGATGTCTTTTTTAAGAATTGATCTCTCTCAATGTTTTAGTTCTTTCATCTTTGTTGCATTCATTCTCAGTTAGGTCCTTACTATGTGTGGCAAAAATGGCTATGAATACTCACAGGCTTGTATTCTATCAATTTCTCAATCACATTGGTCATGTAGTGATACCTGAACCAATCTCTGTAACCAGAGCAGTGGATATCTCTGAAGGATTAGACCTGAGTCATGTACTAAAGTCAGCTCTACTTAAACTACTTTAACTAAATGGAAGAGGGTGGTTCTACAAATGGAAATTGAGGCACTCTCATTAATAGAACAATCTCAAACAGTGGGAAGGATGCTGAGTTAGGAAAAAAAACAGCTATCAGATAGGCCCTTACTGACCTTATTTCACTAGTTGAAACCCTGTTAATCCTTAAAGGATTGTCTTCCATCACATTTTGTTATTCCTCAGTCTATAACCATCTCTCCCTCTTTTGTTTTCCTTTTAACATCTTGTGCTTATTTTTGTTAACTTTGTATAATTATTACAAGTTCATTTCTTAGATTATTATAATGTCACTTCTTTGAGGGCAGAGACTATCTCTTCTTTGTCTTTAACTTTTCAGTAGCACCCAACAGGTGTCTGATTCATGATAGACTGTCAGCAAATATTTATTAATCTGACTTCTTAATGTTGTACAAATTATCAATAATGAAATATAAACAAAAATAAGGCAGATATCTTTATGTATGTAATTTATTAACTGATTAATTTATTAAAAAACTAACAGAAGCAATGTTGACAATTCTGAGAAATGATTCTTATTTAATAAGTAAGAATAAGTGTAGCTCCCAAGAGTGGTCAACTTTTGTAAGGAGTGGTTGGGGAGGAGGGGTTCATGTGGACCTAATCCACATTCACTAACTCTGTGCCTTCTTTTCCTCTTCAGTTATCTGGGTTCATGTCTAAGCTTGTGCCAACTATCCGGAATGCCCTCCAAAATTCAAGTGAATCTGGAAGAGGAAAGGAGCTGATGGTGTTAACTGAACCCATTTTGATTGAGACCTATATGGGACTGATGTCATTCATTGGAAACCGCAACAAACTTGGCTATTCCCTTGCCCGTGGGAGTATTGGTTTTTGAGACTCTTTTTGATATATAAGTACATCATCCATAAGTATATCATATTTGAAGATTGTAGTTCAGCCCACCCTAATTTTGGACTGAAACAATTAACTTCATTTGAAGAGTATTAGATGATTTTGAATGTTTAGTACCTTAGGAAATCTAAAAGTTTGATTAGACTGGTAAATGTACACTTTAGGTCTTATGTAGTGATAAACAAATTTCCTAAAACCGGAAAATAAATTCTGCTAAGCCCACCTAATAATGTTATCAAATGAGCAGTTGATCATAAATTCAAGACAGACTCTGGGTTCTTGTTCCTCTCCCCCCCAAACATAGGCATTTTTCAGGTCTTGACCTTCGGCTCTCTGAATCTGATCTTCTCTCTCATTAGGGTCTCACTTTATGTATTATTTTAGCTACCCTTCTTATGAGAATGACTTCCAAATCCATATATGTATCCTTGATATTTCTTCAAGATTAAATTTTGCAGTTGTGTCTGCTGATAATCTATGCCAGTGTTCAAATGGTCTCACATTTAGCATCTTCAAATTCCTGGATTCCTGTATCATTTTTATGGATCCAGTTAAATTCCTTGCCAAATCCATTCCATATAGTATCTGTATTAGTCTGGTTGGGATGCTATAACAAAATACCACTAAATGGGTGGCTTATATACAACTGAAATGTATTTCTCACAGTTCTGGAGGCTGGAACTCTGAGATCAGGGTGACAGCATGGTCACGTGAGGCCAATCTTCTGAGGTTGCAGACTTCTTCTGATATCCTCACATGATAAAGGGGCAAAGGTGTTCCCTTGTGCTTCTTTTATAAGGGCATTGACCTCATTCACGAGGGCTCTGCTCTAATGACCTCATCACTGTCTTTGGGCTCCACATTAGGCTTTCGGATTTCAACATATGAAATTTCAGGCAGACGTGAACATCCAGACCATAGCAGTACCATATCTGTATGTGGCTTAGCATTATAACTTAATACAGTTGTCAAATTTCATTCTTTCAAAATTGTTCATATTCTTCTCCTTCTTGCTGTTCTCACGAGTATATTATTAGATCAACTTGAAGAATGACCCTAGCATGTTTATTTAAAGGTCATAGCCTCTTAATTGGGATCCTCACTCCAAGGCTGACCTTCTGATCCATTCTGCTCTTGGTTGTCAGATTTCTAATGTGCAATTTAATCATATCATTCCTTGATCAAGAATTTTCAATGGCTCATTTCTGTTTGCATTTTTTTCTTCAAATATGAAAAAACAAAACAAAACAAAACATAGCAGACCCTTTCTTCCTAATGGATTTCCAATGTGTAAAACAGATAGAAGTAGGGCCACAATGATTAAAGTATGGAATGCCACTGGTTTCTTTTGGGGATCTCAGAGGGGTTCCCTGTGGAATGTCTATGGATCCCAAAGGGTTTTGAGGTATGTCCTAACTCATTCCATTTCCATTGCTCTTGTTTTTCTTTCATTTGCTCTGGCTGTCTCTCCTTGACTTATGTCTAATTTTGAACAACCTAGGAGATTATCTCACCTTTTCTCAACTTTTCAAAATTCTTGTATTTTTTTAATTTTTAAATTTTATCTTATTTTTAATTTATTTTGAAAATCAATTTTAAATGTTGAACACCATAAACATTATTATAATCAGCTTTTTGCCTGTCCCAAGACTCAAAGTTGAGACATCGTGATAGGTATTCAAATAAAAACTTTCAGGCAATTAGTTTTGCTTATGTGGCATCTATTTTTAAAGTTTTACATTTGAAAAACTTACTTCCTCACTTCCTAAGATTTGTCCTCTGATACAATCATAAACATCAATTTGGTGTAGGCAATCAAAACCCACGCCTTGGATAAACCTCATTTCATTTTGTCTTTGTTTACTTCCATTAGTATTTCCCTCCCTCTCTTTCCCCTTCCCAGCATCCACTTCCCCCTCACCATGATGGCAAATATTGTTACAGTCCCCAAGGCAAGGAACTTCTATTCAGACTGTAAAAGGAAATGTTGAAATTTCTAGCTGCCCTGTCAACAGTAGTGGAATGAAAAGTCGTTGGATTGTTTTGGCAATGGTTCTGAGGTAGACATAATTGGCAAATTATTATAGCACTGTTGCCTGAAAATCCCCATTTGCCTCAAGATAGTAGCATTTGTTGGCAGAAACCTCTGAAATGTCCAGCCCTTTCTTTTCAGTTACCATTTAAGGATCAGCCTGACAATTGACTTCTCTCTGCACTTTTGTCCTGTTTGTAACATAAGCTGGACTATTCTCAAAGACCTTCTAAAGGGCTCATTGTAGCATCATCAATGGAATCAAATCAGAAAAGATAAGAGGAGGTAGATATCTCTGAGTCTTGGGTCCATCCTATAACAATAGAATAAGCATTTAATCACACCAAAGCTACTTAGTGTGGAAAAGTCAGAGATGGCATTAGAACTGTCTTCACATTTCACAAAGACCCACCTGTGGGATATGTCATAAAGTAATTCATAGGATACCCAAAGCTGGATTATGATCAGAGGATGAGAGAGTACAGAAATTTGGATGGTAATTTAAGATAAGAATAAACTTCTTAGAGTTAGAAATGTCCAAAAATAGAATGGCCATCTTCTTGATCTGATCTTTATCCCATTCAGGAATTCCCACTAGAAAATCCCAGGAAGTTTCCTTTCTGAAACTGCTTGAATATCTCTACTGACATATCTCTTTCCTTTCTGAAACTGCTTGAATATCTCTACTGAGCATATCTCTTATGCTCAGTCGTCTAATACATCTTGGGAAGTTCTGATGATTAGAAAGTTCTCCTTCTGTTTACTTAGGCCCTATAATGCTTACCTGCAATCTCTTCTATTTAAAAATATTCTTATGCTGGAGTAGATTCAGCTTGGGTTTCCATGTCAGAATGTACGACATTTGTGTGCAGAGTCAAAGCTGATTGATTTCTACCATTTACAGTAAGGCGAGTGGTGAAGAATCACCATGCCTGGCCTCTGAGTGGGTAATAAGGCCTCTTTGGAGGTCTGGCATTTGGCCAGCTTCAGAAGCAGAAAAGAAAGTACAACTTATAAGTTTGGGATCTTTTACAATAAATTGAGGCCCATTCTCATTGTCCCTTTGATGAAACATTACTAAGGAATTCAATTTACAGAGATAGGAACCATCTAATCCAAAGTTTTCATTTCAGAGGGTAATAGCTTAGAAACCAGAAAGAAACTGCTCAAAAAGCAGATGGTGAATTTTTGGCAATACCAGAATTAGATTCTAAAACTTTCAATTTCCTATATCTGGTCCACTCCTCTTTCCATTTATCTCCATTCCCATGGAAAGTCATGTCATCTAAATCAGTGTATCATGGTTGCTGGGTTTTCTGAAGTGAGAAAAAAATAGGTCACTGTTGTTTAGAGGGGATTTCCAAAAATTGTTCATGTCTTCTTGAAGATTAAGGTCACTCGTAGAGCCCTCTGATTTCCTAGCTAATCGAAAAGCACAAACAGACCTGTAGAAGCCAGTGTAGCCAGCAGATATTTTGTAAGGAGGCTTTACCTCTGCCTGGCATTTTGTGGGGCAGGAAAGGGGAGGGCAAAAGTATTAAATTTAGGCTTAAAAGCTCCTCAGAAATTCTTTACACACAAGAGACCAAGTTGAAGAAAAAAAGATGATCGGTGCCAAGGGGAAGAAAGAGAGAGGCTAATACCTGTGGTTTTCAAAGGTTAACAACAACAAAAAAAGCCCCAGTATTTGCTCGGGGATGAATGCTTATTGGCTCTTGGCCAACAATTATACAAGGGCTTGTGCCCACATCCTGTAGCTGTGGTTTAGGACGCTGCTCATGAGTGACTTCTTATGCTTAGAGGCAGGAAACTTTAGTCACTGATGTGTAAATTCACCTTTGGTCTGCACCTCCCACAACGTGCTCCACTCAGAAGGCAGTTAGGGGGCCAGGTCTCCTGACTTCCTTGGAGATTCCAGTTCCTCAGAGGCTAAGGAAGCACTCCCTTGTGGCTTTGGGAGTAACAGAGACTCTATCAATGCTTATCTTATTCCATTTGATTGTAGCAACCCCTTAGGACAATTCTGTGGCCACAAAGAGGAATTACAATATCCTCTGCTAAACCTATGTTTTAGCCTCAAAACCCAAGACAAAAAAAAAAAAAATTGTGAGCTGTATTTCATTTCAGAGCCGCAACCATTGTGAAATATGAGAAGCAAAGACATGAGGTTACACCTGAGTCTAGATCTTGTGCCTGATGAGCTATTTTATACTCAGTTATAAAAAGTTCTTCACTTCTCACAGGTCTCCTTTTTAGTGAAGCCAATTAGAATTTGCAAGAAACTGTTCAAAAAGCAGATGGTGAATATCTGGCAATAGAGGGATTAGATACTAAAACCTCCAATTTCCTATTTCTGGTCCACTCCTCTTTCCATATACCTCTATTCCCAGGAAAAAACATGTCACCTAAATCAATGTGTCGTAATTGCTGGGTCAATTTGAGATGAGAGCATAATGGGTCCAGTTTAATTAATTCCTGTGTGTTTAGATGTATATGAGATATTCTGATGCTACACTATAAATAGAGCACATATTGATATCAAGTTCTCTAAACCACCACCTCCTAGCTCACATCCTCTCCACAATGTCTTACTGTGTGTCTCAGAAATTCCTTTTCCTTCCTTTCACATTCTCTGCTCATTCTTCGTGGAGTCATCTACACTGAGATAAGAGGAGATCTTAAAGGCCATCTGGTTTAGCCTCCTACCTATTGCAGGAATGTGCTCCACCAAAGTACAAACAGCCAATGGAGACTTAGCTTCTGCAAAACATCCCAAGGTCAGAGAGTTTCCTGTTTCCTACAGTAGCTAAATCCACTGCTAAACATCTACAACAAGGGGAAAAGTTTTCTGAATATTGCATCCAGATAATCTCCCTTGGAAATTTATCTATATTTGATCCAAGATCATCTTTTGAGATTATCCAGAATAAATTTCCTGTTTCATATGGTTG